GGTGAGGGGGGGGGGGATTCTAAGAAAATTTACGTGCAGGTAGTTAAACTCAACATAAGGAAATACAGTTTTACTGTGAGAATAGCAAACCTTTCATATGAAATAGCCTACCACACCAAGTGGTGAATGCTGAATCAATAAATCATTTCAAAACTAGATTAGATAAGCACGTGTGCAAGAGGACTTTAAAAATTATAGAGCAGAGTTTAAGACTCAGAGTGCCGGAAGTAATAAAAATCTTATATCACAACTTTTACAGTCTGACGAAGAGTGCTTGTGTCAGAAAAATCACCATAAGTAACCGTAAGTACGGTAAGTGTGTCATCTTTGACTTTGAAGATTCACTTGAAAAAAGTATTATATATAGTTGAAATCTGGCCAATATATTAAATAGAAAACAATAAAAAAACTGCCTGCAAGTTCTTACCTCTGTAGTTAAGTGTGGCAGGTATTAATTCAATACTTGAACTGACTATGTGCGATCAATTTTGGGGAATCAGAGGTAGGTGTGACGACCCCTTGAGATGTATTATTTACAAATATTTTGCAATCGGCCGATATGGGTCTCCTTTGCGAAAGAGCAAAAGAGCACTGTTGTAGATGGCGCTACTGCAATACGATACTGTGAAATAACAGAAACTCATTCGTGGCGTATAGTATGCGTCTGAGCAAATGGATCCATAAATATCCTAACGCAAGGTGTTTGCTAAATCATATGTCATTTTAACGATAAGAAGAGAGTGATGAGTTTTTGTAAATATGAGAGAAACTTTTGTTTTGTTTTTTAATTTATTTGCTAATAAACGTAATATTGTGTAATGTTTTCACATTTCCCCTTTTTTGAATTAATTTCTCTCCCCCCCTCTTATATAAGTATATCTCGTTATCAGTTTCCTTTTCAGAATGATTCATCACCCTTTATCAATTGACTTGATTGTCTGACTAGCTAAGCGAGACTTAACCGGCCCCGGTTCATCCATTTATATCATCATTTTCACAAGTCTACAGAGGGCAGACTTTTTCCACACCCTCCCTTTAGATTGTACAAGGTCAATGGTGAAAGGCTAAAAATAACGCACTTAAACAGAAATTTGGATCATTTTCATCATTTTTCAAAAGCGTTTAGATGGCATTAACCCCCCCCCCCC